ATATCGGTCCACGTTTTCGCATAGCCCCCATACTAGTGGCTTTAACAGTCATAACTATTTTAAAAATGCGAGTATAACTATGAAGCTCGACATATATGAGCTAAATTCTCTCTACCGAATTTTATGAGGATCGGTCCATAATTGATACTACCCCTCATAAAATGTCACCCCCAAAAAGTGACTTTAACGCCCATTACTAGCTTAAAAATACGTGTTTAGCGTTGAAATTCGACATAAGAAAGTTTCTTGCGAACAAAAATCTCTCTACCGATTATGATTGGTGCATAATTTACAATTACTTTTAATTGTAATTGAAATTTTTCCAATTACAATTACTTGTAATGTGTAATTGACAAATAACTAATTACAATTATTTGTAATTGTAATTGAAGTTTTGACAATTACAATTACTTGTATTTGTAATTGAAATTTTCAATTACAATTACTTGTAATTGTAATTTCGGTATTACTAATTACAAATGACATGTGATTATAAGGAACAAAATTCACAATTACAAGTAATTGTAATTGCAATTTCTTCAATTACAATTACAAGTAATTGTAATTGGCAAAACTTCAATTACAATTAAAAATAATTTTTAATCATAAGGCCATATTTGTCCCCAGTCCCAGTATAAGGTGCCCTTCAGAAAGTGACTATAACGTTCAAAATATCAGTATAGCGTTGAAATTTCACATAAAAGAACTTTTCTAAGAACTAAAATCTCTCTAAAAAGATATGATTCAATCTTTCCAAATATAACCCTCCTTTTAAAAGATTTTCGTAATAATTGACCATAGTCCCCCTTTCCAAAAATTATGCTAAATGAAACCATACCCCAAATATAGTGAAGTTCGATCTATTTCCCTTACATAACATTAAAAATTTTGCTCAAACAGTTGCTTTTTTTACTAATTTTTTTATTGAAAAACTGAAAATAACATTTAAATCAAACTGTCTAAATTCTATGATTATGCACTTGCTATTCCCGTTCCCATAATACTCGCATTGACAACGCAAACACCTGTAACAGACTGTCTTTTTCTATTAACCATTTGACACAATATGTTCAAAACATTTCAACCACAAAGTATTTACAATCAGATAAGATAATTTCAGAAATAATTGTAGCTGATAAAAAACACATACACATATGAATGTATATGCTTAAAAACTTTTTATTGATTGGGCTAATCAAAATTTAGGTCATTTAAGTTGTCATAAAAAAAAACAAAATATTTTCAACTTAATGTTTGAAGCGACATCTATGTTTGACATTTGAGTAGTGTGTATACACTGAAAAAAATTTATTTCCTACAAATAAATTTGCTAGAAAATTCTTATGGTAATTAATTTAAATTAATTTTACAGAAACTCTTCTAAATATTTGCATTTTAAAAATTTTGTGTTTGAGAGAAATTAAGGACACTTGCTTAAATTCAATATAATTTATGTATGTTTTACTCTTGCACATGGTTGGATCAAGTGTATTTCACTTTCCCTTTTGGTTTAGTTTGTGTAGAATTGCAAAATTTATGAATGAAACAAAACAACTGCACTGACTATTAATCATTTCATGCTGCCTGTTGCTGCTGTATGTATATTGGTTGTTGGTGGAATAGTCGGATGGATAATCACACGAAACGTAAAGAAAGTCGATCCGTTGTCGTACATGTTGCATTTTGTATATTTTTTCAGTTCTAGCTTTTTGGAATAAATACGAAACCTAACATGAAACAAGAACAGAAAAGAAATTAAAATGTTACTGACTTTCTTTGATAAATGATCGTTTAGTTAAAACGAGACATTTAAGTTTACACCATTTCCATTCGGATGCTTAAACTAGCGTTTTACGAAATAGACAGAGAAATTTAAATAACAAGTGATACGCTAATACAGCACTTAGTTAAAGTGGAATTTTGCCAATCAATTTCCTATAAAATTTTTAATGTACCGGACTAAGCTTAGTAGATAAATGTTCGAAATGTATAAGATTAAATATGCTCAATGTTAAAATAAAAAATGCAATTCCTTTTAGTAATGGTGTAATATCTTGTGTTCATATGCTTAGTTAAACTTTGTACTCGTAGTGTTTTATGTACAAAAATTTATTATACTTTTTGAAACCTTTGGGTATATTTGCTGATGCAGAAAAAAGGGTGCGGATGGATATTTCTTTGAAACCATAAATAATAATTTGTGCCGTTGCCTGAAAATACTGTCTACTGAAATAAAAAACTTCATTAACCTTAAGAAATATAGATGTCCCCATAAGAACATGATACAGATTAGCCCAACGATATGGATAAGGAAATAATTAATTTAAAAAGTATGTATTATAATGAATTTCTTAAGTCTCCATGATACTTGAACTTCAATTTTCAAATCAGTATCCATATTTTCAATAATTCTATCAGACCTGTCTGAATTATTGTAGAATTTTGTAGGCATACATATCAGACATTACAATTTGTTCTAAAATAACTAGTTTTAGAACGGATGCAAATAGAACCAGTTTAGATTCGTTTAAAACACTTTTGGAGCTAGTGATGTCGCATGTATTCTGGTCTCCTTTCTGTACAACATTTTGGTGGTTCCAAAGTACTTCTAAAGATTTACAAGTAACCATTTCTTTGGAAATATCTTTTTGGGACCAGTATTGGTCCTAATTTGAAAAATGTTAAACAAAAATCTATTAGAACAGTTCTAATGAAGGTGTATGTACATATGTATGGTACGTTTCCCTAGACACGTTCTAAAATTTTAAAAAAATTCTCTGGCTAAAGAACTAATTCCAGAACCAGAACCATAGAACGAGTGTCAACATAATAACGCTTTCACAAAACCGCTTTCAAAGATAACAATGTCGAACAAAAAAAAAAGATAACAATTTCGAAGAAAAATTATTGGTCTTAACGTCAAACTATATCGAGTAACAGCTATAATAATACATCAATATAAGGCAATATACAACAATGTTTTGACAAACTTTACTTTGACATTTGCCAAACTTAAAAAGATATACATATGTGTGTATATTAGAGTGTCCCGAGGATCAGCCTTTTTAAGAATTTCATGTAGGAATATCTCTCAATCGATGCGTATTAATGTACTGAACACCAGAAAAATCAAAAATAATTTTTTTCTGGAATGGTCCTCATTTCCCTACCAGCTATTGAAATCCTGACCTCAGTTAATTTGTGAAAATTAAAATATTTTCGATTATTTTGAAATGGGTCTCAAACATTCCGTAATTCTGAACTGATTAAATGAAAAATAATTTTAATATTATTTTTTTTCATAAAATGATTTTAAGTTGGTTGGAAAGGCAAATAATATGCCCTTTTTATTGAAATAAATGTCAAAATTGTTGTAAATTTTAGCTTATAACCAAAAATATTTAAAAAAAATTTTCCGTTTGGTTTGGTCCTTATAATAAACTAAAAGTCGTTTTGTGGACCAGAAATACACTAACAAAAATTTTAATTATTTTTGTAGCAATAAGCTCAAAGTTATTATTTTTAATCGCAGGTAGGGAAGTGAGGATCTTTTCAGGAAATTTTTTTATTATTCTCGTATTTAATACATTGAAATGCATCGTTTTAGAGGTATTCCTCCTAAAAATTGATCCATGGGATCCCCTAATGTACATATGTATGTATTTATGTATGTATGTATGTATGTATGTATGTATGTATGTATGTATGTATGTATGTATGTATGTATGTATGTATGTATGTATGTATGTATGTATGTATGTATGTATGTATGTATGTATGTATGTATGTATGTATGTATGTATGTATGTATGTATGTATGTATGTATGTATGTATGTATGTATGTATGTATGTATGTATGTATGTATGTATGTATGTATGTATGTATGTATGTATGTATGTATGTATGTATGTATGTATGTATGTATGTATGTATGTATGTATGTATGTATGTATGTATGTATGTATGTATGTATGTATGTATGTATGTATGTATGTATGTATGTATGTATGTATGTATGTATGTATGTATGTATGTATGTATGTATGTATGTATGTATGTATGTATGTATGTATGTATGTATGTATGTATGTATGTATGTATGTATGTATGTATGTATGTATGTATGTATGTATGTATGTATGTATGTATGTATGTATGTATGTATGTATGTATGTATGTATGTATGTATGTATGTATGTATGTATGTATGTATGTATGTATGTATGTATGTATGTATGTATGTACGTACGTACGTACGTACGTATGTATGTATGTATGTATATAACCCGTTTCCTAAGAATTACCTGCCATTTAATAACTAGAGGGCTAAAGTACATGAAATTTCAATAATCCGGCCTGTTTAACAGATTGTAGTTATTTAATATTTGTGTGTAATTAATTTTCCAATTTTCTAAAACTTTAAACCGGTATGTGGTAATACGAATCTCCTACAATTTTCATATTGCAATAAGAAACAGAAAAGCAGAATGTTTTCAATTGTATGTGGTTGGTATGTTGTTTCCTTTCATTTAATTCATGTTTGTAGTTGCTGTTGTTTTTCTCTGGTCACAGTTTTTTGGTAACATAGCCAACATCTACAATAACAAGTTGGCTGTAACCACAGATAATGCTACAGCATGTGTTTAAGAGAGGAGTTTTAACACGTGTCCATTTTCGAATGCTGTGTCTGCCTTGGTCAGCTTCGGTTTCTCTAAGTGTTTCCTTTATTCCACAGTAAGATTTTAAAGGGATTTTGTAAAATACATTTTGGTATAACAAACCATAACATACTTACACGGATTGTTGGTCGGTAGGAAAAATTTTTATATAGTTTTAAATAACCAGAGGATTTAACATAATCATAAGATTTTGTTTCTCGTTTTCGTTATGTTTTTTTTTATTTAACAATTTATTTAAAATTTGTTTTTCTAAAGAAAATAACAGGAAATATGTATTTTGAAATTGTTGTTTAATTTATAAATAACCCAACTATTTCAGATTTCACCTGCTGATTCAACAAAGACATCGTCATCTACAACAACAACAAAAGTGCCTAAATCGGTATCCGATAAAAAACGTTTCTTTGAATCTGCCATGGAGGACCAACACAAGCCCACACAAAAAACAGGTAATTATATTTTATTATAAATTGTTTTTTAATTATTATTTTTGTTTTCTTTTAATTGAAATTAGGAAATTATAGAGGGTGGTTTTAAAAGTTATAAGAAATTAAGAAAATTTTGTTATGTATTTGTAAATAAAGATTTCACTTATACATACTTAAACAAGTTTGCTTACATTACATTGGTAGGATTGTTATTCATGGAATTTGGCATTGATGAAAGTTTAAACAATTTTCCCAAAATAAAAAGGATCTTTGATAGAGTTTTTTGTTCGGGAAATCCCGTCTGGGAATTATCGGGATTTCCGGGAATTTTTTTTAACCATTCCTGCGAACACGTGAAATTTTAAATTAAAGTATTTTTAATATATTTTGGAAAAACTAGAGATTTTTTTAAAGACAAATTACATAAAATCATTAAAGGTGCAACAGGAAATGAAAAATTACTAAACTAAATACTATCAATCTATGTAAAAGCTTAACCTGAAGGAAGTTCAAATAGAACCAAAAATGTTGACATTCTCTTTAATGCATTTCTGAAGCCTACGTCTGTGGAAAGCGTTTGAGTTATCTCAGTAGTTATCTAAGAGTTAAGAATGAAAGAACTTAATATGTTTCTTTTTGTTAACTATTCTCCTGCATATGGAGTATATGATCTGTTTAACCGTTATGTTATGTTTTTCATTTTTGAAGTGATATATCTAGAGATCTATATATCGTGTCGGCTTGAAATTTGGACTATACTTTCCGAGTAATGTTTTCTATACATTTTATTTAGATGTATATATATATTAAACCGATTTATGACCGATTTTCTATTTTTACCTCGTGTATCAATACCCAACATACCCCGGTATGTATACAAATTATATGTCAGTTATCGGACAAAAATTAAGTTTCATTATAAATTTCATGTTTTATTATTAGAATTATATATACATATTCTTGTATCTTATGAAAAAAAATGAACTAAACAACAAATTTAGTTTCAAATAAAGAGTCGAGTATCTCTATTCATAAATTTGAATGTGAAATATTTGTGGACTCTGTAACATTAACAAATATGGGCCGATTTTGATGAAATAAATTTTTTTTATTGTATATGACTTAGTAAAGTAAAATTATGCTGATTATCATAATTTTATTCTAATATAAACAAAAATATTTAATTTTAGTTTAAATTTTAAAATTTTAATTTTTGACCAGACTTAGCAATCTTTTTTTGCAAAAAAGTTCCCTACTTACGAAAGCAAAAACAATTTCTTTACAGCTAATCGATTATATACACCTTAATAAATAATACATAAAAAGTTTTGTTCAATTATCTTTCCCGGTCACTGAGTAATAGCTTCTTGAAGTCAAAATTTTACAAAGTCAAATTCTGCATAATGTATACGTTATGAAGGCGTTTTTCTTTGGGTTTTTTGCAGATGATATTTTTGTTAATAGGAAAGCAATAAGAAAACTTAAAAAAAAATTTCTAAAATTTAATAGTTTATGATCAAAAACCATTTAATTTATATATACAGACGTTTTATTAAATTAGTTTTAATAATTATCTGAATTATACACTAGAAATGTATAAAAAGATGAAATAGCCATATAAATTGTATGACATACCCGGGTATGTTGGGTATTGATGTACGTAATTTTGCTCGGGTATAGACAAGACGGTTAAATGTAGAATGTTTTTTTATATTTGGATTAGTTTTGGACCAGTCTCTTTCAATAAGTGTAACGTTGGTTAACGTGGTAGTTCACTACGTGCGAACAGCCAAGTAGAATCGAAGAGTCTCCGTTTTGGCCGGACCACTCCACTCGTCAGATGTAGTATTGTATAGCATTAGATCCAGCCTGTAGCAGTGGTAAAGCTCAGAATATCATTAAGCTTAGACCCACATATCTCACCAAAAACAATTTCTCAAGACAAGGACAGATTCTTCTTGCATTGTTTTTTATTGCTCCTGAATCCAGGTGTGGTTCAAAAAAAAAAAAATTTATCACGTCTACCTTATTCGCAAAAACAACAACAACTAACACAAGTAATATTTACTATAAGGATGTCTGGATGTATATAAGTTATTACTTGCATTTGTTTTTGATGTTTCAAAATAGAACAAAACTCCGCAAGCATGTCTGACTATTTTCCGCTGTATCTTCTTCCTTTTTATAACATCTCCTTGTGGAACCCTTCAAAATTTTAATCTCACAGGAAAAAGTGTGTTATGTTATAAAAAAATGTAGAAAATTTCACACTTCTTTTAAAATTTTAACTTTAAACGCTTATAACTGTCAGATGGAGCTACCTATGGCCTTAAAAATTTGTAGTCTTATACTTTCGAATATTATAAGTAGAATGCTATTAATAGTTTATTAAAAAATTATTATTTAAAATAATGTTTGAGATTTGAGTTCAGTAACATACGGGTTAAGCAAAATAGTGAATTACTCAAAATTGTGACGTGATAGGAAGAAATCGAAAGCAGGCGTAGATTCAGTGTGGCAATATCTTAAGTTCTATAACATACTTTTTTAGAAGAGGATTTGAGTGCAGACCAGTGTATGGTTTGATTTGTTCCTTAAGGACAGAATATTTTAGTTATCGTTCAATTTATAAAAAAGTAGTTAGTTTTGTTTAAAAACGATATTATTATAGTTAAAAATTATGTTTTAATAAAATTCCGGAATTCCCTGGAAAATTAATTTTTTCAATCCCGTTTCTTGGGAAGTTGAAAAGCCCGACAATTCCCAAAGTTTATGTAGTCTCTGAGTAGTCAATATTAAATAAATAAATATTTAACCCAGAGCCATAAGTATACTTTTCAAATGAATTAAGTTGCGCTTAATCTGAATCAAAACAGAATTTCTCTATCACATCATTTTTAGATATCGTCAAAATTTCAAAAAATTCCATTTTAGCCATATTTGAAACCTTATAACAGCCTTTATTTATAAAGTTTGCAAACTGTCGACTTTAAAATAAAGTTGGTGTAGCCATTATAATATCTTTAAAATTGAAACCATATTTAGTAGGGTGATCGATTATTCGACATTTTCCAAAAACCGGTTTTCGAATAGTTCGAATAGTTGACATTAAAAAAAAACCGGTTGATATTTTTCAAATTTAGAAAAAACCGTTTAATCGGTTTTTCATTACAATTAAAAAAAATATATTTTAATTTGAAAAACTTAATGTTTATGTTTAAATTTGATTAATAAAACATGGTCCGAAATGATTTTTAACAGTTTAAAAGATTATAACTTTAGATCTAGTCGTCTGATTTACATTATTTCTTTGATATAAAAAAATTAGGAAAAAAGTGGGACACTTCTGTTAAACATGTAATCCTAGCTTATTTTAAAAGCCCTGTTTAGGAAATTTGCATAGGCATTCCAACACTTCCATAAAATTTCAGTCGTAAATTAATTATTGTAATTGGAATATAATCTTAAGATTGCTAAATTTTATCAAACAGTTATCCATTTTACAAATAATTTTTAATTAATTAGGAAAATCAAAAAAGTTTAACCAAAAGAGCTGTAGAAAAATATACTCTAGTTCCTCGACTAGAATATTTTTAAAATTTAGACGGGCTATATTATTATTTACTTAAAAATTTCATTTAAATAATCTTTGAATACAAAGCAAATAAAAGTATTCGAAACCGGGTTTTAAAAAGTGAAAAAACCGGGTTATTCGATATTCGAAAAATCAACATTAAGAAAAAAACGACACTGGTAAAGCAGAAAAAACCGGTTTTAAAACCGGTTGAAAAATCGAGTCAATCACCCTAATATTTAGTCAATAAAAGCAAAAATGCTTTCAATTTAAATTACTTTTCAATTATCCTACTTACAAAAACTCTTCAAGTATTAGAAATATCTACATGTGTACAACACGAAATGAACAACTTTGCATATAAAACGTACGTATAGACGGACGGACAGACTATTTTCTATTCTAAGCAGCAATATTATTTATACGTACATATGTATGTCTGTATGTCCGTTTGTCCATTCTTTCTCGGACAAATCATTTCAAATTCTTATTAAAATCACTTCAAGTAAAAAAGTTTGTTTTCATATTATAATTTCGTTTATTTTGTTTTATTTTTTTATCCTGGTTCTTACAATATTGTTGCTGCTGGTAACATCAAAGCTGTTGCTCCAAGAATCTTCTTGGTCAGTAAGCACAAAATCTTAAAGAACGAACAAAAAATAAGAAATTCTTAAAACCCAAAACTCTAGTGGACAAGAGTACAGTGGCAGTTGGTTTGCTAGTATGTGTTGCATGCAAGTTTTCCTCTGGCGAATGAGCAACAGTACGACAGGACTACAACTACATTAGACTGCAAAAAAATTGAAGATAAAACTGAGTAAAATATTAAATTTCCTTGAAAATTAGCATTATGACTTTGTTGCTGTTATTCTTGAATTGTTGTTTCTTTATCTTACTCTAGCACCAACATAATGATGATCATCTTGTTGTGCTTTGACAGATGGTCGGTTGGATGTACGGTTGGTTGGTTCGTTGGACTATTTGTTGGCTGCAAAGTTTCTTAAAAAAGGAATCAAATGCATTTGCTGCCTGTGACTTTTCAGAGAGAAAAAAAAACTGACACGTTCTCTAGTATAATTAGCAGTTGCAAGCAGCCTGCATACATAAAAGTTTTCTTTTCTCTTAAAAACAAGAAACTTTATTCCTTTTTCCATTTTGTTGTTTAGCTTGTATGTATGATGTTATAGAAGTTGTTGTCTAGTCCAACAAGCTGTAAAAATTGATGAAATTTTGTATGTTGGTTTGTGTATCCTATGTGTTTGTCTATCTGTGGGTAATCCCACATTTCATAAAATAGAGAAGAGCAATCACTATAAAATTCCAACATCCTTTTTTTAAAGGAGATTGAAAAGTTGCATAAAAAGCAAAAATCTTGAGGCTTATTTAGTGGTAATGTTGGGAATTAAAGTATACTTGTTTTTTTAGCTCAAAATTGTTTAACAAAACTTCTTAGAACATGTTTAAACATTTTGAGGAAAACTTTCTTTTTTAGTTTTTACCATAAATAATTTTATTTTTTTATATCTTTGGTTTTTTGCGTTTCTTTCTTATTTATGCAATATGGAAAATTTGTTTTTAAAGACATAAAGATTGGATCAGTATTATATGGCACAATTTTAAAACTTTGTCAGTAACTTATTAAGCAGTTGCAGTGGAAAATAATGCTTAAACATTTTAATATTTATGTTTTTTTTGCTTGGAGGGCATTGCAATTTATCACTTTCATTTTAGCCCCATAATCGAAAAGGTGATATAAGGTGTATATCGATTTTGTCATCGTTACGCTGAAAATTTCTCTTCATAGAAAAGCTTTATTCACATATTGATTATATTTAGAGCACTTTTGCGTTAAACTTGTTTTCGCTCTTTTAGAGCTTTCCACAGTCCAGAATGTATTTTCATTTAATATCATATTACCTAATTGCATTCCTCAGGCGGACTCAGGGTTTTGACTTTTATTTTGGAATGTATTAATTATCCCTGGATGATAGAATTAAGATTTATATGTGTTTTGCTTTTATCTCGTCTCGGAATTGTTCAGCATTATCACCTACGACAAGCCTAATTCCTGATTCAAGAAACGATGAGTCTAACTTTTCACCTATTGGTCCTAGCAAAAATCGTCCCAGGGAGTTCAGATAGCTATTTCTTCATTGTTTCCAAGTTTTTTTTTTTTAATTTTTAAAATTTTTTATATTTTTTTAATAATTCTTATACCCACCATCAAAACAGATGGGGGTATATTGATTTTGTCATTCCGTGTGTAACGCATCAAAATATTGTTCACAGACCCCATAAAGTATATATATTCTGGGGCCTCCTACCCCACACATAAATTCCCCATCAGAAAATTACTGGCTTAAAAATAAGAGTATAGCAATGAAATTCGACTCAAGTAAGTTCCTTGCAAGCCAGAATCTCTTAACCAAATTTTATGTGGATCGGACCTTAATTGACCCTACCCTCCATATAAGGTCCCTTCAAAAAATGACTTTAAAACTCAGCACTGGCCTAAAAATACTAGTAGATCCATGAAATTCGACATAAATTATTTTTTATGAGCTAACATCTCTGTACAAAATTTTGTGGGGATCAGTCCATAATTGACCCTACCCCCCATCAGAAAATTACTTAACGCTCCTGATTCAAGAAACGATGAGTCTAACTTTTCACCTATTGGTCCTAGCAAAAATCGTCCCAGGGAGTTCAGATAGCTATTTCTTCATTGTTTCCAAGTTTTTTTTTTTAATTTTTAAAATTTTTTATATTTTTTTAATAATTCTTATACCCACCATCAAAACAGATGGGGGTATATTGATTTTGTCATTCCGTGTGTAACGCATCAAAATATTGTTCACAGACCCCATAAAGTATATATATTCTGGGGCCTCCTACCCCACACATAAATTCCCCATCAGAAAATTACTGGCTTAAAAATAAGAGTATAGCAATGAAATTCGACTCAAGTAAGTTCCTTGCAAGCCAGAATCTCTTAACCAAATTTTATGTGGATCGGACCTTAATTGACCCTACCCTCCATATAAGGTCCCTTCAAAAAATGACTTTAAAACTCAGCACTGGCCTAAAAATACTAGTAGATCCATGAAATTCGACATAAATTATTTTTTATGAGCTAACATCTCTATACAAAATTTTGTGGGGATCAGTCCATAATTGACCCTACCCCCCATCAGAAAATTACTTTAACGCTCATTACTGGCTTAAAAGTGCGATTACAGAGATGAAATTCGACACTGATAAGTTCTATAGGAACCAAAATTTCTCTACCAATTTTTATGAGGATCAGTCCATAATAACCCCACCCCATATAAATACCCCCTCAGAAAATGACTACAACGCGAAAAATACGAATACCGCAATGCAATTCGACATAAACTAATTTTAAGCTAAAATCTCTCTGCCATATCGGTCCATAATTAACCCTAACCCTGTATAAGGTCCCTTTAAGAAAATGACTTTAATGCTCATTACTGGCTTAAAAATACACAGTATATCTATGAAATTTGAAGTAAATAAGGAACTGAAATCTTCCTACCGACTTTTATGAGAATTGGTCCATATATGTCTCCCTATATAAATTAATAATTTTAATTCCAAAGAGCACTGTCAATAGTTAAACCCCCATTAATGGACCTCTGACAAATATTACCCTGATATTCTTATTAATATCTATATATAATAATAAAATATTCAAAATATCAAACTTTTCCTTAGTGGGATGTGAAAAAATTTTTTGAAATTAAAAAACTTAGCTTTTTGTGTTAAACTATTTTTCTATCTGAACTTCTTTGGACAATTTTTTGTAAAACCCTGTATGACCAAAATGTCAAATTTCTGTCCTGTACTATCCAATTGAATTTCATTCAAATCGGAAGACATCGATTTTAAAAGTTGGGTCACTTGACACGAAATGGCTCATATGTATGTAGATGCTTGTAAATTATTCCCGATGTCTTCAAAATTGTGCAATTTTCTAGGAAACTATTTAAATTTCAAACAAACAAATATCAAATTTCTTTATGATTACTTCTATTAGAATCATTTTTATCCATATTTTTTTATATCTAATGACAAAAAAAAACACAATTTCTTTTTAAAAATTTTCTAGACAAAGTTTTTTCGTTCCTGTCAAAAGATGAAGTTGAAAAACTAAAACAGGAGGAAGAGCGTAAAATTGCAACATTACGCAGTGATAAAAAGAAATCAAGATTATTGGATGATGCCAATAGCAAAATTGACAACAAAGATGATGATGACAACCATGTCGATGACGACAATGATGATGAAGATGATTATTCCGAAGAAGACGATAATGATGATGATGCTACAGATGACGACGATGACTACGACAATGAGGATGCAGTTGATATGCATCAGCAGCAACACATTCAAGCAAGAAATGCAAATGACAGTATTGATGTTTTACGTGAAACCATAAGTGACGATGATGCCGAAGACATCAGGTAAGTGAAGTATAAAAGTTTATTTTTCTCTTCATAAACTTTTTTTGTTTGTGGTCTTTATTTTTCTCATTGTACTCAAATACGTTGATTTTTTTGGTGAAAGTATTTTAACCTTATTTTTTTCGTAAACACTTTACTTTAATTGTCATTTGTTTTATTAAATATTAAACACACATTTTTCTGAATATCCTTATTATTTATGTTCACATAATGTTTGTGTTTTACATTCACAAAAACAAAAACATTTACACATTATTATATCCTTATAAACTTAAACAACCACACCTACACACATTATGAATGAACACTTTTATATTTTAATTTTCACCCTAAAAGTATAGTACACCTATTCACCCACATTTACTTTTATTCTTTAATTTGTTTATTAATTAATTGATCATCCAACAACAAATTGGTAATATGGTGTTTGTGTTGTTTAAAAGCCAGTTTTAAAGTGATGTTTAAGCATTTAAAATAATATTTACACCTAATTGTGTGGAAATGTTCCCACTGTTTAGTCATTGTGTTTGTAATGTTACTGTTAGGATAATTAAATTAAATTGAGTTGGTTTGAATATTTTTTTACCATAACGGATAGAATTAGGATATGAAGCTAACGTAAGCTCTCAGCTATTGCATGAGAGCATTCTCGGCGAATAATTTCAGACTTGACCCAGGAAATAGAACTTATCTCAGAATATCCTTAGCGTGTCCAATATGTTAATCACTCAGTTTATTATAATAGATTCCGAATTGTCTATAACATCTCCTGATCTTACCCTCATATGGAAAGAAGGCCTAAACAATGCTTAAAAGTCCGACCATTGTCATCTATTTACTTCCATTTTTATTCCCATTCTCTCTATAAAAGTTCAGAGAAAGCTTATCCATAACATTGGCTTTCTGAAAACAGGTTTAACAAATTCGCACACTAGACTCACAATTGATCATGAACCTTTCTTCTTTTACGATTAAGTCTAATTACATTAATTCCTACTAGGAATAAGGCCCTAAGTGGTTCTTTGAAATTGAAGAACAGGATTGTCTTTGATGTATTATACAGCGCCCTATTAATTTTCATGTATGTTCGATAGCTTATATTTAACAAGAACAGTTCCCCTTGCATAAGGGGTAGACGTCGAATTATATAGAACCGTTGACTCAAAATTACGTTTAAAAATTGTTAAAGACATGCAGGCAATTTAGAAATGTTTACAAAATTACTTTTATAGCAAATTTCTTAAATGAATTTTTAATAATTATATTGATGCACGATATCTAAGAATTTCGAAAACTTACCTATAAATTGACGGACATTTCCATATCGCCATTAAAAAACTTACAAACAAAACGACTAAACGTAATTAATACTTAAGTTTAAATAAAAAAAATGTATTAACCTTACACTATAAAACTGGTTAATTTTTTTATTGTTTTTAATAAATTTATTTAAACATTTATAAAAATTACCTTTTATTCTGCTTATGACATAGTGAAATATTTAATGAAAAAAAAAAAAAAAATAAAATAAATTGAAAACTTTATTGCTTAAGTTTGGGTTTTGGCTGATAATGAAAAGTTTTGCTCCACATTTTTAATAATATTTAATTTTTATAATAATATGTATTATTTAAATTCATCCTTAAATGAACAATTTTATATCTATGACTATAAAATCAATGTATTAAACAAAATGCTTTGAGTATTACTTTAAGTCGTTTTAAATTAAATGTATATTAAAGGAAATTGTATTGTGGTTAAAGGATTTTTTTCAATGTCTTGTACCTTTTTTCTTTCCTTCTTGTTCTTTTTATTCTCTCTTTTTGTATTTTTTCTTTTGTGTTTCACCTTCATGCTTACCAAACCACCATCACCTAAAAAATAAAAAAAAACATCTAAAAAAATCATATTAAATCACCAACTGGCTTCTCACAAAAATATATATTTTATAAATACAAATTATATTGTATTATTTTTTTGAGTGTATGCTTAAAGGAATTTAGACGAAGTCTTAATTATAATAGAAATGTAGTATGGTTTGTTTTAGTTTACTTAATTCTAATATACCATCAATTATTTATCGCATCCTTTTAAAATGGAAAATTGTTTTTTTTTTTTTTTAATTGAAAAAGTTCACAAGATACAAGATTAATAAGTAGTATATACTTTAAATAATATTTATATTAACTCGCTTTTAATAGAATTAATTTTGTAATTTAAGAAGACTTTGTCAGTTAATTTGTTGTAAAATCAACTGAAACTTAATCATTTCTACCAAGTAAGTAATTAATTTCATTTTCATTAATTGCTATTAATGAAAGTTATGGTTAATAGGTAAAATCACAAAAGTAAAACTAGAAACTGAAAGAATACATATAAAAATATCTAAATAAAGAATAAAGCATAATTTTAAGGTGAATACACTATGGCAAAATTTAAATTTAAGCAATTACTTAAAATTGTTAAACTTATAAAAACACTGCCAATTTTTGAGAAATATAAATTAGAATTTTAATCCCATTTTTACAATATATTAACAGATATCATATAAAACTTATTTTAACTGTCATAATATCTATCGGTTAAACGATAACCATTATGGGTTTAAGTAAGTTAATTTGAATAAGTTTATTTTTTTTTTTTTTATAGTATTTAAGAAGATACTTTTCCTGCTAATTTTAAGGGCTTTTGGAATCTGAAGATTGAAATTTAGTAGAATATCTAATACGACAGCTATGACCTAGAATTTATGGATCCTCAAAAATTTGTTTCTCAATATAAACATTAGGGTATAACTTTTTATACCCACTATCAAAAAAGACGGGGGTATATTGATTTTGTCGTTCTGTTTGTAACACATAGAAATATTGGTCATAGACCCACAAAAGTATATATATTCTGGGTCCTTATTAAATTCTAAGGCGATCTAGCCATGTCTGTCTCTCCGTGTGTTGAAAGCACTGTAGAGTCCGAACGGAACGAGCTAGAGGATTGAAATTTCCTACAAAAAATTTTCTATAGGTAAGGTTTGTTTGGTATTGAAAATGGGCAGTATCGGTGCGATGAAATTTGACATATGTAAGTCTCTTATGATCCAAAACCTCTGTACCAAATTTAATGTTGATCGGTCCATAATTGACCCTACCCCCCATATAAGGTCCCCTTCAAAAAATAAGTATAACGCTCATTACTGGCTTTAAAATACTAGTATAACTATGAAATTGGACATAAATAAATCTCTTATGATCCAAAATCTCTCTACTAAATTGTATGTTGATCGGTCTATAAGTGACCCTACCTCCCATTAAAGGTCCGCTTCAGAAAATGACTTTAACGCTGATTACTGGCTTAAAAATACTAGTAAAACTATGAAATTCGATATAAGTAAGTCTTTTATGATCCAAAACTTATCTATCAAATTGTATGTTGATCGGTCCATAATTAACCCTACCCCCATATAAGGGCCCCTTCAGAAAATGACTTTAACGCTCATTACTGGCTTAAAAAAACGAGTATAATGATGAAATTCAACACACATAAGTTTCATATAATCCAAAATCTCCCTACCAAATTTTATGTGGATCGGTCCATAATTGACCCTACCCCCATATAAGATCCCCTTCAATAAATTACTTAAACGTTCATTACTGGCTTAAAAATACACGTAAAAGGATGAAATTAGACCCACGTTAGTTCCTTGCGAACCAAAATCTCTTACTCGAATTTTATGTGGATCGGTCCATATTTGACCTTACCCCCCTATAAGATCCCCTTCATAATAATAATTTAATGTTTATTACTGCGAGTATAGAGATGAAATTCGACATACGTAAGTATATTACGAGCCAGAACCTCTCTGCTGAGTTTTATGAGAATCTGCATATGGTTGACACCCATATAAGCTCCTCTTCAGAAAATTACTTTAAAGCTCATTACTGGCTTAAAAATACAAGAAAAAAGTGATGAAATTTGAGGCACATATGTTTTATACGAATTAAAATCTCTCTACCAAATGTATTGAGGATCGGTTCATAAGAAAATTACTTTAGAAACATTTATAGGAACGTAAATCTTCCTACCGAATTTTATACGGAAAGTGTCGGGAAAGTGATTGACCTAAACAAATGTATGAAAAACGGTCAATAATTAACCCTATCTCTCATATAAGGTCCTATTCATTTAATTTGATTTATATAGAGGAGCATTCCTGTTAGGGCATACGGTTTGATGGTGGGTATATGAGATTCGGTAAAGCCGCAAATGCAAATTAAAAGACCCTAAGCGAGCAAGGACTTAAGCATATCTGCTATGCAGACGGCGTCGTAATACTTCTAAGGGAAACGGATCCGTATTCATTGCGTAGATGCTCTCAATACGGCCTTGAGTTATGTTCAACCGAGTGGCTTCAATGTTAATCCTGCGAAGACGGAAATCTGTCTATTCGTAAGAAAGACACAAATTTCTAAGTATTCTTCTTTTACCATTTCCTGAGAAAAACGAGTAGAGAGGTTTTGTAGAAACTAGATCCAAATACATTGGGAGTTATATTATTCCCGAATTAGAAATTACGTTCAGAAAACTGAGTTTCTGAACATCGGACGATAATATATTCTGTGAATACTATAATATAAGCTTTTTGTTTTTACCAACCCGATAGAGACCTAGGTGTATTTCTTCGGATTTGTTGTAGTATACATTCTCCTATCAACCTTTTTATTTTAACACGGTAATGACATTGGAGGCAAGTACTTACCACACTCGCATACAAATCACTACTTAAATAAGTACTTACAATAGGGAGTTAACAATTTGTTTTGTTTTAAAAACAAACCAAAAATCGCTCACCTTGTTCATTAGTTCGCTGTCTTCCTCACAACTCCACAGCTTAGTTATTTTATTGTGCGTCCAATAATGTTTTTCTTCCTATGTGTGTAAAAACCAGTTGCTAGTGCGCGATCCAATAAAATGTGCAAATAAAACGGCAAAACTCAAAATGAAGT